TAAAGGAAATGTAAAAAATATAGGCTTCATCGATGCTTAATGAATTTTAGTAATAAATACTAAATGAAATGAAAAGAGATTGCTATGTACTAGAAAACAAAGTCATTGGAGAAAAATACTAAATCATTTAGAAGAAAAACGTAAAAAATCGCCATTTTATAGACTCCAATAATGCTTAATTAAGTTTGAAGATAAGCAATACTGGTATTATGATGGTAATTGGTGCCATTTTAATAGATACCAAATGTACAAATATAGATACAATTTTATATATACCTTTTAAAACAATATGTTTGATACCTTTTAAAACTGGATCAATACTGGGAAGGTTTAATATATAAACACGGTAAAAAAGGGGTATTTTTTAATCACTCTAAAGGAATAAGTACCGAAGATAATAGTGCTTAATTTTAACTAATAGATAGTGTTAAATTTTGACCATCATGAGTTAACTTCGAGCAACAGCATCATGCCAAATAATTCTGAAAGTAACTAATCTTTATTTTGATGGGATGAGCCACTAAAAAAATGTTCTAATTAATCTAATAACGCAAAGCGACCGGGAAAGACAAAATATAATAATAATAAACTTAAAATGGAACTGTTTTAGCTTCATTAATTATGTTGGTATGTTTCTTTAGTTTTGTGCAGGATTTCGAAATGTTGCTCAGCACTGACGTATTGATTGCTTAGTTTTTCTTTCCACTTCATACTAAGAACTGTTATTTAACTTGTGATTTAATAATTAATTATGAACTTTTATATATTATGAACTAAATTTCTCTTAAAATATATTCTTTCTTTTAAAAAATTTCCACTTATTTGGGTTTGTAAAAAAGTTTTTAAATATTTTTTTTCGATCAAGTTATTTGAAATATTTCTACTAAATTTTATTACATTCTGCAAGTTAAAAACTAAATCAAATAGACATTCAATACAAAAATGTACTTAAGATCTCAGGTCAAAAACTTTGAACACGAAATGATGCTTGATCAAACTTTGCGACGCCTTACCTATCCAATTTTGAAGAACGAAATTATCACCATTTTATTTAAAACCAGAAACCTCATTAAAGTTATAGATTCGAGAGAATATCGATTTTCTTATTTAAAAGTAGCTTTCTAAATGCATGAAGATGACGAGGAGAAAAATTTTTCTGGAAAAGTTTCTTAGAATAATAAACACCCGAATTCGTTCACCCAGTAATTTCAAAGATTAGTTAGAAAAGAGACACAATTTTGAGGTTTCTTTTTTATTGTTTCAAGTATCATAAATACTTTTTCTTTAAATTATAGAGAATACATTTTTTAGAGATCGTTACACGTATCGGCTAAAACAGAACATGCAGCTCTTTGAGCAAGCTTTCATTAAGAATTTTATTTTTGTGAATTGAAAAGATTGAATTTCCAGATGAAATATTTGATATTTATTTGCTACCCATGACAATATGTTTTTTTAAAAAGTTTTTGATATCCAGAAGGCTCTTATCGCCTAGTTTTTAAGCATGTGATGACATGCATTGCTTTTTTTTAAATTTATTTTTACAAATTAAAGAAATATGTTAAAGTTAGATTTATAATTTTGCATAATTTATATGAAAGATTCATTTATCAGAAACTTATTTAATATTTTTATTGAATGTTTAAAATACTTTGTCTTGAGTTAGAGCTACTTGTTTAGGACACTTAAACATTTAAAACTTTTCATATTTTTTCTAAAAAAAAATATGGTTCAGAGGAGATGGAGGATATAATAAACAAATTTTAAAAAATTTGGCAAAAAGCAGTTTACTAATCCTAATTTTGAACACTCTAGTACTTTTTTAATTTGAATGTTTACCTTTATATAGAATATTACTTAATTTGGATAATTGATTTTATATTTTAATTTTTGATAATCTATTTTAGAATACTACTATTTTTTAGCCATTAATAAAAATTTTGAAGCATTTACATTTTACAACAGCTGTAAGATATAATTAAATTTCTGAGATAATCAGCATTTTTATTTTTTTTTTAAAAATTAAAATGTGTTAAAGCTTTAATTTAATTTTCTAAATTTTCTACAGAAATTAATCGAATACTATAAATTAAACTGACAAAATATTAATCCTATTTAGTAAATGAATACCCAAATGAGCGATTTCTTATTAATTAACCAACACAATTACCACAAAGAAAATTACCACAAATATTGATCGATCGTCCTATAACTATGCATTTACTCAATGCCCGTGGAGTCATCCGTTCGTTATAGTTCATTATAGTTCATAATCAGTTAGTTAAAAAAGAGTCAAATCGAAAATGACGACTAAAATTTGAAATAAGAACATTCATAAATAATATAATAACACCAATTATCAAAAACAATAAATAAGAATAATCTGAAGAAGAAATTAAAAAACAAATTGAACATTCACTTTTCTAAACATAAAAACATTGTTCTTTAATTTTGATTAAGTGTATAGTCATACAACTGTCTAAGAAAGTGTAACAAAGTTTAGCCAATATGCCAAGCTATATGTAAAAAATTTGAGTGATAATTAACCGAAATATTCGAGATGTTCGCATTTGCCCAATATGCCCACACTAACCCCTTTTCCCCTACTACCAATATAAAACTTTTGAAGGCAAATTCAGCATGGAATTTTTTGAAAGCAAAAAAATATTTATTTTGCAAAAGAAAAAAAAATCAATGCACAAAATTAGAATTAAGTATAACTTATAGCATGTAGTATGATCCAGATATGAAAGTAGTTTCTAACAATAGGAATGTCTTAGAAAAGGTTTAAAATAGCAATTAACCTCTTTATTTTATTACGTAAAAGATCTCTCGGTTAAAAAAAAAACATGGTTATGTTTCTTCACTCTTTTAAAGTCCAAGTCCTCCAGAGCTGCCAAAATATATGGTAACGGTAAAATATCTCCAGAAACTGGCATTGGATCAAAAATTTCAAAATACACGGGTGAAATATTTTTAAAAGGTGCATTATGGAGCATTGGAGGCTCAGAGGATAGAGCACTAGCTTTCTAATGAGGTGAACTGGTTTCAAATTCCAGCGATGACTGGTCGATTCAAATTCTGCACCCTACTCGCACTGATCACAATGCAGACATAAAATATCCTCAGTGGTAGACGGATCATGGGTTAGAGTCCCCTTGCCACCAGGCTAACCATGGAAGGTTTCGTGCGCATATACTGGTTAGTTCTATCAAATACTCTCCAATAAGGCAAATTTCTCCCACTATTTGTTCTAGGAGTTACCTTGTCTTCTGGATTGGGTTAAAAATTACAAGTCTACGAAGTTGAGCACTGGTAGTCGTAAACTTAAAATTAGTTCCGCTGTTCAACGACGGTGATTAAAAAGAGATACATTATGGGTTAGAGTCCCCTTGCCATAGGGCCAACCTTGAGAGGTTTTCGAACTTTTCCTCTCCATGTAAGGCAAATGTGGGTTAGTTATATCAGAAAGTCCTCCACGAAGGCAAATTTCTTCCTATATTTGACCCAAGAGTTCCCTTGTCTTCTGGATTGGATTCAAAATTACAAAGCTTCGGAGTTGAACATTGGGAGTCATTCACTCAAAATTGTGCTGGCTGTTCAACGACGGCTATTATAAAGAAATAAATAAATACATAAGTAAAAAGTGCATTGATTGATAAAAAAAATTCTTCCCTTAATCTCAATCTCTGGAAGCAAGGTGGGGGCCAACTTCAAAATCCTAAATAGAAAGACTTTTTATTGCAGAATCTTTTGAATCTCAGATAGTCATTTTTAAATATTTGATCCAATATCTACGATTTTTCGAGATATTTGACAATTTCCATGCTTTTTAGACATCCTATATATGCTTTTCAAATGAGGTTCAATTTGGTCCTAATTTATGTAAAGAAAAATTTAACATATAAGATACTCCAAATATAATGATACTCGCAGCAAATTGTAGCTCGCAATTCAAAGATTTTTTTTTATTCTTTAGGTTTTAGTCGTAAATTAATTGAAATTCACTTTATATTATCTGGAGACATTTTTAACAGCTTTTAAATTTAGCTTTTTTAAATTTAACTTTTTGAAATTTGATTTACAATATTGATTTCTATTTTAATTTATAGTGAAGCTTAAATTCTTCCTAAACAGATTCTGTACATACTCTAGCTTTATTGGAGTTTTTTATTTACTTTTCAACAATTCTTATTTGTGTTCTTTTATACCTATTTCTTTCAAGGGCTTTTTCACAACACTGTAAATTTTAATACAAATGATACTTTTTTTACCAAAATTACTACTTCAAAAAACCTGCATTTCCGATTGTATTTCATGAAAATTATTTTTTATCTGTTATTTTGTACAAAAAAATATTCAAACCTGTTTTGCAACAAAAAAAAGTATAATTTTATTTTTTATTTCCTTTAAATATTATTACATGCCGATTAACTATTTCTTTTTCCCTTAAAATTAAACATAAAAATTTTCTCTAAAACAATAAAAGAAATATCTTTAATGTTAAGCAAGTGAATGAATTTTTTTTGAATTCCATTTTTTCCCCCTTTAAAAACATCATTTTTTAGCATTCTTTTCTCCTTGAAGTATGCATACAAATCGAGAATAATTACAAATACATTCTAATCAGTAACAAAAATTTAATAAAATATAGCGGGAAAGAATTTACTAATTTACTCATTTATTACACGTTAATAAACACAAGAATATTTAGAATATGTATAGTTTATATGTATAGTAACATATGTATAGTTTAAATGTACAATTAGTGAAAGAACTAAAAATGAGAAGATAACAAATATTTCTTTTCAAACATAATTCCTTCATTCAGGAAAATAAGAATTTACAACAACCAGATTACATTATTTACAACCAGGCTGGCCAGACTGCCAAAATTTATATGCCTGTCTGCATATAAATTTTTTACATTTAACTCAAACATTCCTCCATCTACAATTTGAAATGATTTTCTCATCTTGGCGACTTTTCGTATGATTCTAGTAACCCTAATGAAATTGTGTTTCGGGCATCCTCGCAGGCTATTACACATCATTCAGCAGGTGTTCGTAAAACACATCTAGAATGGCGGTGATCTCTAGTCTAGTTGACTGTCGTGGTGAGTTCAGTTCTCAAAAATTTTACTTTTTGCTCTGGGATGCTCGTGAAGCCGGTTTCAATGTTTTGATTGTGAAGGATGAGATAAAAATGTTTTCGGTCAAAATAGCCACGTGCTTTCTCTTAACTTAAATATTTTTTGAAAAAAAATTCTCCTTAATGTTTTAATTTTTAAAATTCCACTAAATATAAATTTTAATTTTTGTTATTCATCAATTAATGTTATTTTTATAAAGTAGCTTTTTTTATTTCAAAAGAAGCTTAACATTATCTACCATAATTTATATTATATCTTTCTAACATTGTTGTGGAAATTAAGATACTTTATCTGAATTTGAAATGAAGTATTTCACTAAAATCTGAGAACAAACTAATTGCTAAGAAAATTTAATGTATCCCTAATACATTAAAAGATTAGGATGCTTTTATTTAATGAATTATGCGTTACTGAATGTAAATTCAATATTATGTCAAAAAGTAAATCAACTATTAGCCCGATATTTTTTTATATTTCTGTACAAGGACACTATCTAATATGCTAAAGGCTCACATTTTTATCAAACTTTTTCATATTTTTATTTTGCCTTTATGTACAAAGCTGTAAATTGCCACTTTTTTTCCAAGTAAAAATACTAACCATAAATATATTTATTTACAAAAATATTATAAATTTAGAAATGTTTCGTGCTGCAACATATCTAAATTAATTAAACCGGTTTAAAAAGACAATGTGTGATAATTAAAAACATTTTGAAACTAAAGGAAATAACTCTCAAATCTCACACACATGCTTTTTGAGTTCTAGCTAAAAATCAAAAGCACTTTAGACTGTAATTTACATAACAAGTTTTTCTCACTTCACATAATTTCAGCTATTTTAATAATAAATGTGGCATATTAAAGAAAAAGATTTTGCTTAATAATGCATGATTAATACACACATACATGAGAACAGAAAAGCAGAACAAAGCTATGAGCCACATTTTAATTGTCGTAAGTAATATTTATTAATCATAAATGTTACTGCTTTAGTTATTAACTAATTTATTACAGGAGTAATTCTGAGAAGATATGTTTTAATGTTCTTAGAATTTTATGGCTCCCGTGATATTAAAACAAGACTTCCTCTTATTTTGTTTGTTTAAAGCTATATTCATAGATTTGGATCTCTCTGTTTACTGATCGACTGCGATTATAAAACAGAGCACATTGTTATCACAGCTTTGATAGGAGAGTACTTAATAGGGCGATTGGGAAATAAAGTGAATGTAGAGTTGTTGATTTAGTATTTCGTATCAAAATGTATGAAAAGTTTATGAATTCTTTGAGCCAGTTTACCTGATGGTTGTAGAATAATAGCAAAGTACAATTATCTTTTATGAACCTTAATTTTTACTAAAGTTTCGATTTCGATTAGTTTAAATCTTTATTTTTGTTAAACCGTTAACGATAACTAATGTTAAATAAATAATCCCAAAAAACTGAAGCAATAAGAAATTAAATGATTAAAAACTTTATTCGTTTCAATAATATACAAATTGGAAATAACAGCCTTATTCACTCAAAAATTCATTCAGCATTTATATGAATAACAATGGACAATCATAATTCCCTTGTCGTTAACAAATGAAATCTGATCTCCTTGTTAATGACATTAGTCCCTCACAGCCTTTTATCCTGATTTGCTCCTCTCGGCTACTGTGGTTGAATGAAGTTTTGAATGAATGATGGCGAATTAAGTTTTTAACCAAGTAATTAAAATATTTTAAGCGCTTACATTTAAAATTTCCAAAATAGAAGCATGCTGTAAGCACCTCAAAAATTTTAGGTCAATTCTACTACATTTTTATTTTTCACTTTACTTAGAAAACGAGAGCACTTTGAACCATGTGCGTTAAACATGAGATGAAACGTTGACTTAGGTTTGAAGAATCTGATTTGAGCATTTGAGGCAATGAGTCTTTCGTTTAAAAAAAAACTTAAAAAAAACTCAGATGAGCATACCACTAGCAATATTTAAACTCAGTGTTATATTCCATTATATAAATCCAAGTTCCAAAACTGAAAGCTTTTTTCGCACACTACATACCTGGATTATTTAAGGCAAACTATAATACACTGTTTTCTTTATGCTTACATTTAATTGCAGTTTTTCATAGTTCTAATAATTCATTTGCATTGTTACAATTTAATGTTTAATAGTGAAAGCAATGGAATAGTAATAAATGTTAGAACTGATGAAATAAGAAAATATTGATGAAACGTGAATAATGCAATTAAAAAAACATTAAAATTCTTCACTGTTTTTTTCCCTTAATCAGGAGGAAAAAACAACAATAAGGATTTTTCAAGATTCACTATGCAAATGAAATTCAGATCATGAAACTATTTTTATGATTCACATACATGTATTATTATTTTTATTATTCACATATTTCATTATCTTTTACAAATTGCTGTCATAAAAACTAAAAAATATACAAATTTTTATAGAGTCTAAAATATTATTAGAAGTCAGTTAATATTTAAAAACAAAGGGCTGAATAGGAGAAGTCGTGTGAAAAAGACACGTTATCAATATATTAAGTCGGTTCTTATCAAGGTTAGAAGATAAACAGTTTTTCTCAAGAGTCTTCCCTTTTTTGATAAAACTTTATTACACATTTTCATTGCTAGCTCTGATGTCTAACAACAAATTATATTTTATTCTGTAAGGGAGAAAACTATAGTCAGTGAATACTTATTTTGTAGCACTGTCGAAAGGTATAATTTTATTTTGTAATCTACTTAGAATTAAATTTCTCTTAACATATATACAATCCAGTCTATTAAATTACATTAAGTTATCTGGAGGAAAAATAGTTAACTCTGTGCTATAGATGTAGAAGAGGCTTTCATATGCGACTTCTTCTGTACTCTCATCATGTTGTTTTGGCTTTGCAGTATGATAATCTGAGAAAAAAGCATGATCAAAACTAACAAAATATAGAAAAATTTACCTTGGTTCTGGCTCTATGGGAATTCTTAAAAGCTCGGTATTTCTTGACGCAGAGCTTTGGTAATGATTTTAGGGAAATTAACAATAAAATATGGTTTTATAATATGCGATAAAATTTGTTAAAACTGGTAAAATTTGGTAATTTTTAATCCCTTAGAGCATGATATAAAAACCATTTACTCGGGTAAATTTACTTTTCAGTTTTGTATTTTTTCTCATTATGTAGTAATAAGAACTGTAATTTTTTAAAACCAGACTTTCGGGTAAACCATTACGATATGAACGGAAATATTACCAAACTGAGCGGTTTAAATATGGTATGTTTTGATTTTATTAACCGGAATTACAAATTTTATTTACCAGAATTGTCATTACCATGTAATACGGTAATTTTTTTCCGTGTTTTTTCAGTCAAAATTTGAACAGTTCTGAAAGTTTTAATGACAATAAAAAATTAACGCTATTTTTATAAAATAAACGATAAAATAATATTCGCCATACCTTGTGAGTTTTTGAACTGTAAAACTATAGCGTTTTTAAATCTTTTTAAGTGTTATTATTTTTATTCCTGAATCCATTAATTTAATTTTTTTTTTCATGAAAGATGACTTTTTTACTGATGTGCTATGATTGGTTCAGGGATAGTGGCTCACTTAGTGGGAAATACATTAAATTAGTGGGAATTACATTAAATATTTTTCTACAGCATACAATAACTTCTATAATGTTTCTAAAATTTTTCCTTTGTGTAATCAATTAGATAATGTATGAAACAGTTTTGAGTATGTGTGTGAGCGTGTGTGTTTTTTTTTAATATTAAAACTTAGCATCAAATTCAAACCTTTTCAGACAGATAACATTAATCATATAATAAATCTTTGTTTATCACATCTACATATTCAAAAATCAATATACTTAGTTTTTTTCTCTGTCTAGGATCTTAATTTTTCCAATTTTTGGAATAATTTGTGTTTTAGAGTAAATTTTTCAAAAATTCCTCAGCAAATTGTTGCTATTCTAGTTACCTCAATGCTTAAAATAAACTCTTTTATTATTGTGAGTTTTTAAGTTTACTTTATGGATTCAATACTAATTAAGATGCACTTTTGGGCTATTTTTAATTATCCAAAAACAAAAATCATATATTTTTTAATACTATTTTGGGGAAAATAAGAAAAATAATTTCGTCATTGGGTTATAGTTAAATGTCGAAAACAAAGCTGCAACTATTTAAATTGAGCTATGGACATTTAAAAAGGAACTTTACTGTTGTATTTTCAAAACATATTTTTTTACATAATTCGACAATTTCATACATTTCTACATTTCTTAAGACATAACGTGAAAATCATATAGCTGTCGAAGAAAAGCGTATTTTATTATTTGCATGTCATTATATATTGACTTGCAAATAATAGAATATGCAGACGTGCATTTTAAATTATGTTTTCTCAAAACAGCGTTTTTCATGCTTGAAAACTCAACAAAATCGTCGCCCCCACCCCTCCAATTTTCTTTTAAAACTTCAACAGTATGTGTTATAACTAGTGTAGTTAAGATTATACTTAAATTTTTTCACAATTTTTGATCAACAAAAGCCACTTTCAGAGCCTTTTTAATCAGTTTAAGTACCATTAGTTCCTTTTTTTTCATTTTTTGATCTCGGAAACGTTGATTCCACTTTCAGGGTCTTTTTATTCCCTTTAAGTACCATCAAATTGTTTTTTTTTTCTTCTTTTCTTTCAGTTTTTGATCAGCAAAACGTGTAACTCCACTTACAGGGACTTTTTGTTTACTTTAAGTACTATCATATTGTTTCTGTTTTTTTTTAAATTTAAATGTACAATGAAAGATACATTGCTGTTGTACGAATAGTCATTTCAGCAAGATCGATAAAATTGGAAATATTATCGAATTCCTCATTTACGGATGCTTCCAAGTAGCTCACATCATCCACAATACGTGAATTATAGCAACCTTATAACTTTTGATTAAATACTAGA